GCGATTCTCCGCTAGAAGCAGAAGTTCGATCCTGCATTCAAGCTCTGAAGCGAGGAAGGGCACGACGATCGGACGGACTTCCTCCTAATCTTTTCAAAATGGAGCGATAACTTCGTAAGTTCTGTTACTAATTTATTCCGCATCTGGCCACAATAGCGTACTTCATCATCCTGGAACGAATCACAGATCATTCCCATTTCAAGGGATCTCGCAACGACTGCGTAAACCACTGGGCGATAAGTTCGATCACAACAGTCATCAAAGTATTAGCCTCCGTCATACCCCACATCTGACTCCTTTAGGAGTGAACATCTGTGAATAGCAAAACGGATTCCGGCCTAGTAGTGGATCAACCTTTTACTTCGAGTCAGATTATCAATCTGCATCACACCCACGTTGACCAACGATCGCTGTTACTCGATCTGAAGGAAGCCTTCAACTCAGCTAGCCATAACGCTAGAGCGGGTTCACTTCGTCTAAAAAGACTACCTCGGAAGAACAAAAACTTGCATATTTCTGGTCGAGTGAGGGTCTATAAAGAACTAAACAGGGAATTCATCAAGGGAGTTCAATTTCGCCAATCCTGTTCAGTTTCGTCTAAACGAAATACTGAAGAATGCACTAAGTGGTTTCCCAAACTCAGGCATTGAATGTACCTGGAGAAAAGCTGTACGACCTACAGCACGCTGATGACTCTGTCTGGTTATTCGAATGTGCCCAGGACGTGCAAAGCGCACTAATGGTTATCCCATTCGGTATGAACTTGGCACCTTCAAAGCGCAGATAGATGCTTCAATACTGGATGTCATCTAGTTCCGTTTGGAAACTAAATGGCCGGGAATTACTTATAGTGGATTGCTATTGCTACTGGAGCATCTGTGTGACCAATGACGGTAGCGTAGCAAAGATAACCGCACGCATTTCCACGGCTCAAGCAGCGTACGCAGGACCGGAACAACTTTGGCGTAGACGTGATGTAGCCAGTTCGGGCTACAGCAATAATTGACCTGTAAACGAAGCATGAATAAATGCGAAGAGCGATTAGGTAGAGTAGGCCTCTTGCCTTCCAGGTTGGGGTCCGAAAGACTACAGCTGGTTGGTTGGAGACAATGGAAGGTATAGCAGCTAGTCCACGGCAGTGGTGTTCTTGTCCTTTCTTATCAGGCCAGAATTTTAGCAAACATAAGTATGCACATTAGACTGCGTGCTCTGTGGTGATCACAGCTGTTCACTCTCTTTACCTTCCCCGAAAATGATCTCAACCTCTGCCAACCTTACATATTTTCAACAACCTTGCATGCATTGTGAATTTAGCAGCGATCAGTGAAGTTCGTTTCACAGTATTTCGCTGTGTGATGATAATAAAACTGAGCTTATTTTGTGCTTTGTTCTCTTGAAATTATTACCTTAATTTAATGACCCAACCTCGATGGAATGTCCATAGGCTCTGAGTAACCACATTTCACACTGAAGCTCGCTCTGCTTAGTGGCCTTTGCGACCTTTTTCTGGATTATCTCCCACCGTCTGTCGTCGACCCTTTCCAAAATGCACGTTCTGATAGAATAAACCTACTGTTTGGCTTTTGATACGTAACTTTTCGGTAAAGTGATTTCTATTTCAGCTAAACATCCATGACCCAAAGTGCGATGATCCAACGCTCCATGACTTCGCAAGCAAAGGAGCGACTCTATGCAGCTTCAGGTCGACCAATGAGAAGCCGGTGTTCTCGACCAATCACAATCCCCAGGAATCAAGTGTACAACAGAGCATTAAATGCCATTGGGCAATGGTTCCCTGAGATTGATACTCTTTTATACGCATTATTTAATCGTATCGATCTCTTGCAATACACTGAGCGTCAGTTCTGTGGCGTTCTTCCTGCACCTCGGTGAAGGGGGGATTTCGGTCAGCAGTTATCAGAATGACGGAAATGTTTGCAATAGCCGACAAAGAGCCCTGGACACCTGTTTCGTCTTGTTTGGGACTCGTCAGCAGTTTTTACTTTTTGTATCCCTGTCAGGACTCGAACCGACCATCAAGTGACTGGTGCTTTTGAAAAATCGAATGGGCTAATCCAAGCTTGATACTCTGAAGTTGTCAGAACGATTACGCGTGTAGATTAACATCCCGGTTCCTGATTTGCGTTCATTACGATTACTATAGAAGGCAAAAACAAAGCAAAAATGGGAGACTATCACGGAAAACACTGCGAATCGTATCACATCGAGTGACGTTGCTTGAACCAATGTCTTTATACATCTAAACACGCGTATACAACCATCATGAGACTGGTTTGTGTGCAAATATATTGATCGTTAGCACACTGACAAATTCATATCAGGAACAAATTGTTGATTGTTTCTTTTTGTGTAATGACTACCAGTAGCGCAGACGTGCACAGGGTGCCTTGTAACTAGTAAATTGTTCGTACCGTATTCCATGTTACAAAATAATAGATCCAATGTTACTACTTATTATGTTCGGTATATATATATATATATATATATATATCTGTGTGAAGAGCGGCGAGAACCGCGAAAACCGTCGGGTGATTCCAGGGGAATTTTGTCCAGTCAATCATATGCGACTTATTATGAAATGTGTGTATAACTTATCCTGAAACTCGACAAACCAACCAGTGTTCACAGTCTCAGCTCTCCCCGAACAACGATCAAAAAGAGGAACTAAAGAAAAAAATGAAATATGTATCTTTGTTTTTACTACCACTCGAGGTGAGCTTGATACGAACAATTTTCTCACCATAGGTGATTTAAGTAAATCAGTACCACGGATGAGCGCAGTGCGTTTCGAGAGACAAACAAAAATACGTGCGTTCTACTCGCGAATTCAATCAATTCAACCAGTATAGCTCCATATAAGGTATTATGTGATTTACGAAAAGCAAATTCTAACATTTTGTTATGATAAGCAGTAGAAAGTGTGGGCCTTATAATTACATGAATCCACTATTCATCTAGACAACCCGGCGACCTCAATGCTGGGATTTGAAATGGCGCAACAAACGAGGCCACAGTAGGAGAGGTTTGACAGTGAACCGTAGCGAGTGTCTAATAGAAAGAATAGATCAACTGGTGTCAAGAACAAGGAACATAGTGAACCTAACGAAAACCAAAAGTCTGAAACTATAGAAGAAAGTTATTCATAAAATAACTAGAAATCTCCGTCAACTACTTAGTATGAGGTGCCAGGCATTTATACAACCACGGCTTACGTTGACCATAAAAGGTTAAATCTCACATTATAAATCCAGCGGTGGAGCTCCAAAGAACTTCCGTATTTCGACCAATAATCGGAAACATTTTCCAGGAAAAACAATAGGAATAAATCACTGCTGGTTGTCGAAAATGAATTATTTACAATAGTTCTATGAAATCAGAACTAAAAAGTTAACCAGAAGATTCTGACAAATAGTCCAATTTCTGCCACCGAGCCATTCGACTCGTGTAACGTTCCCGTCGTTGGTGCTCTCTTCGTCGAGTTGCCCTGCGCTCCCGTTCTAACCGAAGCAATTCTACAGTCTTCTCACTCCACATCAGTTCATCTGCCTGAGCTGAGCGATCAGCACACCGTGGCTCTTCATGTTCGCTGGTCAGCTTCTTCACTGGACGCCCTAGAACATCCAAGCTATCCACAACCTGAGGTCCGATCCATTCGCCATTTTCAAGTTCTGCTTCAGCACGGTTTCGTTCTTCGATGACGAGTAGAAGATTTTCCATACTTTCCTCCACCTGTAAACAGAAGAAACAAAGACCATCCTAATGAAGAAAATGTACCGAACGATTCTGTCAATCGCTTCTAATGCCAAGGGTAAAATTTGATATGCAACAAGAGAGAACACCAGGACCAGAAGGATGATTTCTCGATGCACACAGAAATGAAGTATTTTCCACGACATTTTGATAATACAGTTGATTTGTTGGCAAACAGGGAAAGCTTGCGACAAGTTGGCATGACCCATTCGAGAAATCTCATTGTGTACATTAAATAGCGCGGTTGGAAAATGTCACCTGGTGCTATTTATTGAAAACAAGTGGCAGATATGAATCGGTTAGTTAAGAACAAGTTGTGTAAGCGCAATGCCTTGGAGATGGGAGACACGACGAAAAACTATACACACGGATTCTGATCTTACTTGATAATGTATACACTATATGGCCGAGAATAGCGCTTACGATGCTCCCCATAGATCCTTGTTTTAAGTAGCATGGGGAATGTTCCTTCATTCTTTGTAATAGTCGCCCTACGGCCGATGCACATTGCATTACAACTATACCTTGCTGATAAGAGAAAACGGTTTATTGAGAATTTTTAATAGCCTAATATCCGAACAGGCTCCCGTGAGTCGGGAGAAATTAGTTATCCGTCTATCTTTTAAAATAAAAGTAATTATCTAAAGTCCGGCCGCTTGGTAGAAAATTATGCAGTCCAACATTCAGAGGCGACCAGTTTTCTACAAGGGTTCAATTCGAGAAAGCAGTTCACAGTTGCCCTGGTCGATACCTGTTTCAATTTCGTCGCACGAATTTATCATGCGCGGGCCTATTCAGTTATGAACACGATAAGCCCTAAGCGAGCCGAAACATAATCCGAAAATCATGATTTTGAACAAAGAAAGCCAATCGGGGCCCACATCCCTGAACTATATGGTTTACTAAAAGTTCACAAAAACCGGGAACTATCACGACCAGCGTTAGATATGTGAACCCCACCTTTTCATTTTATTGATTGCTGGGTGATAAAAATCCTGTAGCCATGACATCCGACTGTCTCTCAAGGGAAGGGTGTACACCGCAGCGATTCGTAGCGTTCTGCTTTACGATTGCGAGACCTGGTCTCTCCGAGCGGAGGATGCTAATCGACTCTGTTTTTGAACCACCGACGTCTCCGAAGTATTGCCTTTATCCGATGGGAACATCGGGTGAGCAATGACGAGGTTCGTCGTCGTGTGTTGGGTGTGGATAGTCGCTCTCTAACAGAAGTAATCGCTCTACACCGCCTCCTTTGGCTTGGTCACGTACTGCGTATGCCTGCCCACCGACTACCTTTTCGTGCCCTCTTTGCATTTGCTGGGAAAGGCTGAAAGAAGCGCCGCGGCGGTCACACCATGACATGGCATAGAGGTATGAAGCAGCTGATCGTAGCTTTAGCTTCGTTTGGTGCAGCCCGAACTACAGATTGGGGCCCAAGGGATAAGGATTGTCGTGGGTTAGAGACGCTAAGAGATATGGCCCAGAATAGAAATGATGCGAATCCTGTACGGTCGCCTGTTGAAGCCCCGTGCTCCATAAAAAAGCGACAACCTAACACAAACATTTTTATCCCATTTCTTTGCAATTTTTGGTTTCAACAACTTCGTCTTTTCTACTA